CAAAATTGGGCTTAAATCTCATGCCCGAGATGTGATATATATATATATACATATACATACATACATACATACATACATATATATGTATATATATATATGTATATACATGTATAAAACTAGTATACATATAACATATATATTACTAGCATATATAACATATATTGCTAGTATATATAATATATTACTAGTATATCATATATTATATATATGTAACTCTAATATATATATTAGATAGTAATATATAGTTATATAAAATATATGGTAATATGTTATACAATATATCATGTAATATATAAATATATAATTATGCATAATATAATGTGTAATTAACATATGACAATATATTATTGGTATATTATATTGTATATATTATATATTACTAGTATATATAATATATTACTAGTATATATATATATATATATATTAGAGTAGAAATTATTCTAGAGTTCTTTCTTTAGACACCCCTCCTCTCTTCAACATGCTGAGGCTCACTCCATGACTAGCTCTGCTGCATCATAAAAATTCACCGGGCTCTGTTAAGCCAGGAAAACAAATGTCTCAAAGCATTGAAGCAGCTGGTGGCCAATATATGCATGAACTAAGTTATGCATATAGATTAATAAAAATAATTACACACACACATGCAAACACATGCACACATATACACATCTGTTAAGGCTGAGATGCCTGGCATTTTGGCAGTGTGGAAGGTGAGATGGCTTTAAAATTGTGGTTTATATGAGCTTCCTTGGTAAACAGAAAGGAAACTGGCAGAGAAATAATTGTTTTTTTCCTCTCTCTCTTTCTTCTTTTCTTTCCTCTTTTCTTCCTTCCTTCCTTCCTTCCTCTCTCTGTCTCTCTCTCTCTGTCTCTCTGTCTCTGTCTGTCTGTCTGTCTGTCTGTCTGTCTCTCTCTCTCTCTCTTTCTTTTTGGCATCTGCTGAATCTTCCTTTGAGTTCACAGGCGCTAGGATTCTAAGATCACGTAATGGCACACCCACCCTCTCCCCTTCACTAACAAAATCTGAATATACTAATGAGATACAATGAGATACTTGTGGATGACAGAAAATATATTGAAAAATATTAATTTTTAATTTGGGAGTGCTTCTCTGTAACATGGAAGGACCTGGAAATATATATGCAAAGCAAATGTTGACGTTTTATAGGAGTTGCGTGTTTGGATTCCCTAGCTGCATATGGTAAACTACACGTGGTTAGCCACACTTGTGCAACTCAAGGCAGCTTGATGTATTCTGGGATTTATTAAAATGTAAATAACAAAGCAGAGAAGAATGTTCAGACAATTGGATTACTCCATTGACTGAATGCTCTATACTGTATCTATTTTTGTCCAAGCAATGGTGGCTCCTGCTATGGAATGCCAAATGGAATATTCCACTGTAGGGCATGGGGTGGGGGTGGGGGGACTCCCTTTAAGGAAATTGAAACCTGATCATTTAATTTTTAATTTGCCTCTCCCAAAGCAGCAGCTTGTCAATACTTTGTGCAAGAAAATATGGCAAAATTTGGCCTGTGATTATTAGAAGACGATCGTTCTCAACTATTTATTCAGTGTCTATTATTGGACCTGTAACTTCATTCATGAAAATAATGATTCATGTGCTTGTTTTTGTGCTGGGCTTTGGCTTGTTAGAAATAAGAGCATTACGCAATGAGCGTGCATATATGTGACATGGCGGTGAGCATACACAATCCAAGAGATGATTTCCTAATGGGAAATTATTTTTCATTCCCGGAAAGAGAGGCCAGAGAGGTAGGTGTCTTTATGAAGAGGTTGAATTTAGAAAGAATGGGAGCCAGCTGTTTTTTTTTCTCCATGGGGAACAAGAGAAAATGCGATTAGACAACAGCGTGGGGAATTTGGAACAGAAATGCGAGTTTCCCAACTCTGTAGATGCTCAAACACCAAAATGTGCATTGAAGGAAGTGTGTGGATGCTGATGTGGATTTTTGATGGCTTTAGAACAGTGGTTCTCAACATGTGGGTCACGACCCCTTGGGGGCCATAGGAACCTCTTTCATTAGGGTTACCCTGAGACCATCAGAAAACATAGATATTTACATTATGATTCGTAACAGTAACAAAATTACTGTTATGAAGTAGAAATGAAAATGATGTTATGGTTGGGGTCACCACAACATGAGGAACTATATTAAAGGGTTGCAGTATTAGGGAGGTTGAGAACCACTGGGCTAACCAACGGAAAGGCACATTTTCCCTTTGTGGTCTTATATGCTGTGAAAATGGAGACTAGAGGACAGGTCTCCAGGATTTTCTTCATCTATAAGAAGAATCTGAAAGTTGGACACGGTAGGCAGGTCACAGAAGCTATTTGGAAAATAGTAGTTATTTGTTTAATGCCAACTTCTCTCTTGGGGACAGACTGACAGACTGACAGACCTGTTCTGTGAAATGTTAAACTGAATGGAATGTCATGAAATGAGGTAGCTGGGAACCAAGACTGCAAGAGCAAAACACACTCTTTCAATTTTCTCTTTTCACTGTCATTTCTGCTATTCCAAGTCACAATGTCCTTCCTAGTTAAGAGTGGAGTTAAACATAGGCACATTGATCTTTGTAAGAATGTCCTTAGGCCGGGCGGTGGTGACGCACGCCTTTAATCCCAGCACTCGGGAGGCAGAGGCAGGCGGATCTCTGCCAGCCTGGGCTACCAAGTGAGTCCCAGGAAAGGCGCAAAGCTACATAGAGAAACCCTGTCTCAAAAAAAAAAAAATGTCCTTAGAACCCCTGGGGACCCGATCCGAGAGAGAGAGAGAGAGAGAGAGAGAGAGAGAGAGAGAGAGAGAGAGAGAGTTTTATATGTGTGTACATGTGTGGGTTTTGTTTTAACAAAGAGAATTTACAGTGTTCATACTTGATGATTGGCTTTTTAAAATTATGATCACAGTGGATACTGGTTCTTTCATGGTTTGAAGATGATTTTATTTCCTGGGAAAGTTTACTATAGCAAAAAGAGTATTTGTTAAAATTAGAAACTAAGTTTGGCTCATATCTGAGTCATTATCTTGCTGATCTTGGCATTTCAGTGACGAAGTACTGATTTGTCTTCTGAGGAAATTTGACAAATGAAAAAAAAAAAGAAATGAAGATATGTTAAGCAGATGATTTTAATTTTTCTGCTTTTGGCTCTAACCTGATATCAACTGCCAATACCAAATTCCTAGTTTTCTTAATATGTTTGATTTCTTTACTCATTGTCTAGAAGATTGAAGCTAGGGCCTAGCACCTACTAGGCAAGTGCTTTACCCCTCGGCTTCCCCCATCCCTAACCTTCTATGGTTTTCTGCAGAGAAGGAGGTCTCATTTCGCTTCCTAAGTTGAGCCTGAACTCACTGTACTTCAGGTAGTGCTTGCCCTTGCCGTTCTCCCACCTCAGCACCCCAGGCCTGACCTCAGAGCTCATTTTAATATTATATTCCCATAGGTCAAAAGCTTTCAGTTTTATCTGCCTATTCAAAGCTCTATAAGGGCTCCAAGGAACAAGAATCTCAATTCCCAGAATATTTTTAGAAGAGACCTGGGTATCAGTATTTAAACACCCTAAGCAGTTACCAAGGGCAACTAAGTGTGAGAACTAATATATTGGCTGCTGCTAAATAACTAAAATAATTACATTCATATTATTCACCATGGATGTTTGTCCTATTTCCTGCTGCATCCCTAAGATCCAATAAGTACCTGGCCAGTGTATGCCATACATACAATAAGCATGTTCCCAATAAATAATCACTATTGTAATACAATCTGGCTAACCCTTCACTAAAATAGGACTGATCAAATCTATTGTCTACTTGAGTCATTCTCATTTGGACCTCACTGTAAGTAAGAGCTCGATGTCCTTCTTTTGTTTGCCTGTGGATACATTAAACAAAGTCATTGGTCATCCTATTGGGTAATGCCACTCAGCTATCCTTGGGATGAATGGAAAGGAATCCACCTGTGACTGTGTACCCCCGAGACAAGGAGTCCTTACAAATCCAAAGACACATCTCCTACATAGCACCACAGCTCAGGTAACAAGAAGTCAGATTACCTCTTGCTAAGGATCCAGATGAGCGATCCTCATCTGGGAGGACTAACATTACACTGTGCATGGCTGTTGCAGACTTTCTCAACTATACTTTTATGCTAGTGCTCTGGGTATCTTTATATATAATGAGTTAATGTCTTTTGTATATAGTCCTGTATTTGCTATTTTTTTAAATCATGGGATAATTCAGAGTATAGCACCTTGGTGGGGAAGCCAGCATACCATTGGGATGCTAGCTTCTGAGAGGAAATGACTACTGGGATAAGAATTGAAGGACAGATGATAGAATTTGGAAGGGATGGTGGAGAGATATAGACAAAAGGCTACAGGTCTAAAAAAGTGAGGAGATGAGGGAGTAAGAGAAGACAGATGGTATGAGGAGGGAGGTAGATGAGTACTTGATGATTCCAGAGAGTTCTGCTGGAAGAAGAAGCCAGAACATCAAATTCACTTGGTGCCATGAGATCTCGAGGGCAATGGTAATTATAAAGATTTTAATTCCTGGAGAATGATGTTCATGATTTAGAGAATTCTCTGGATTCCCCTTGACATTCTGCAGGGAAATCCTGGTAGGACGAGGCAGTACTCCAGATAGGAAAAGATAACATTTTCTTACTCCATTAGCACAGGAAATGGGAAGAAGCACACTTATCTGAATAGAAGAAAAGGGGGAAGGCCAAAGGGGACACTGAACTCCCAGCCATGGCCTGTGCACAAGAGAGACTGAACCTAGATTTCTGACTTGGGTAGATCACCACAGCATTTAAAGGTGATATGGGATTATTAGAGAGTGTCTCTAACTTAACAATTGTTTTTATCCCATTAGATATTTGGTCCTTATGGATCACAAACTAGTTTCGATTTATACATACACAAGTGAAAGCAAGCTATGAGAGCCGTCTTTTCCAATAAATTAACACAAGTCCACAGTTAATGCAACATTTCTTTTATTGGGAGTCAAGGACTCAGATGTCAACGAAGTCACACTTTGTGCTTGGGCTACTCGGTAACAACAAACCTGTTTACTTATGAAGTCAGTGAGAACAGTGTAAGACAGAGCCAACAAGTACTTTGAAAAAACAAGACAGCCAGAGCCATGATGGGGACTGCTTATGACAATGTCAAACAGCTAAGTAGAAAGTTACATCAGTTAAATATCCAGGTATCTCAAAAAGTTAGACATCTGTCCCTTAGCAGAGCCAGCTTAACCATCTCCTTTCAGCCAAAAAAAATCACAATTTAGACATCTATGGTATCTAGATGGCCACTGTATTAATTAATCACTGCTAAATGTCAATCAAATGCAGAGTAGCTGGAAGCAAGAATGGGATTTTTAGTTCTAGTTTCTTATGGCCAAAGGAATCTTGAATTAGTTACATGCATAAATGAGGATTACAACACAAAATGACTAGTGGTCATTGTTAATATTTCAGTATTACTGAAATAGTCATGGTTAAGTATTCACAACATTTGCAAAAGTTGACCATTGGTCAAGTGGGTTGAGAAGATGAACAGTGGGAGATTGGATCTGTACAGGTGAACAGTGACTACATGATTGGGAATATCATTAAAGATATAGTATACACATAACTCGCTATTCTGTATTCTTTGGGGACAGATCATTGACAACTTCTTGGCCCAAATACACTAGTTCATAGCTGTACTTCACAATGACGTGAGGTGCTAAAGAGGGAAGGAACTGGAGAGATCTACTAGATCCAGTCTATGAGGCATTCCTTGATCATATAGACAGAATACCTTCTGTAATCAAATAGAAGTTCATGTTTCTTTAGGGCAGGAGGGAGTAGTTTAAAAGCCAATGAAATGATAACTGAGGGCCTTGTATCTGTCCCTTGCTGGGACACTTCCAATATATGCTTTGTTTTGTTTTGTTTGTTTGGGTTGGTTGGTTTTTATTTTTCAAAGTTACTCTGCTTACAGACTATAGATCTATGTTTTCTATCAAAAAGATATTGTGACAGGGAACTTAAGGCCACTACTCTTAAAACTTCTAGAGTTTTTTTTTTTTTTTTTTTTTTGCAGAACTAAGTCAAAAGTTTCATGATGTCTGACCAAAATCAAAAGGAAATGTCTAAACTGCTGACAGGCTCTCCTCCACTAAATTCTCAATTTTCTGTCGTGAAAATACATTTTATCATTCTGGTGTAATTCATATACAAACGTGGAGAGCATCGAGACTATAAGTAAGCAGAAGGGCTATTTGTTTCCATGGACAGACAGTAAGGGCTGTGGGGAAAGTGACAGCAGTGTGGGTACTGATCACAAAGTCTGACTTCAGGCTCCAGCTCATGAGCTTTGTGACCACAACCTTGAATGTTCATAGCCACACATAGCACCTTGGCCAGGCACGTAACCTCATCAAAATCAGTTTCGTCACCTGGGAAGTGGGAACAATGTGTAATTTTTTAGAGCTCTCATGAGATTCATTATGCAAATTATTTCCTACAAGGAATAAACTTGGTAACTAGCAATTACAAACAGAAGAATCATGAGTTCTACACAGGTACCACCAATTGCCTTCATCCTTCTAGTGTCAGAGAACTGGCTCTTTAGTTCTAGTTTGGTTTAGGTGACTTCTGGGGTGGGAGAGGGAAAATACATGTGTGCACCATCTTTACAAGACACACAGAGAGGGATGCTGAGTGTTGAGTGAAGTCAAGTTGACAGGACGATTTGCAATCTCCAAAACTCGCTACATGGATTTCCTCTGCCATGCCCTTCAGGACTCTATTTTCTCCTACTTTCCCATTTATGTATTTTTTTTAACATCCTTAAAGGTTGTTTTCATATTTTCTCTTTAGGGCAACATTCTTCCTTAGGCAAACCAATTTGGCCTCCTCTAAGCACATTGTCTTTGGTTTTGTTTCTGTTCTTATTGTCTACTGACTCTGTTTATCACTACATTTTAGGTAGTTTATGTACCCTTGTCCAGTTTGATTTCCACCCTTGGAAGCAGCTGCCATACATCACAGAGCCAAGCTTGCCACTCAGAGTCTGGGGGCATGATGTGGTGTTTCTGCGTGGTGGCATGAGGTCTCTGTGGGTCACCTGTGATGACACTGTCTTTCACTTTCTAGATCTCTCTCAGGAACAAATACTGTATGTTGATAAAAATCAGTCTCCCCAGAAAATCAGTCTTTTCATACATTAACACACTTGGGCAAAGTTGCCTTTACACAATTGCACTAACAAGCATGTCCATACTAGGATCAAAAATGCATGGCATGTGAATCTGAACACAGACAGACAAATACACACAAGGAAAGGAAAGCTTTTGACTCGTGAATGGGCTGGGTTTTTCTGTTTCTTGTAAAGATTACTATTGGCTGCCACTGCACCATGTGGGTGGCTGCTGTGCAGGAGGGGTCTCTTCAGGTGGTCAGTTGCTTTGTTTCAACTTCACAGTTGGCATGAGCAGTCCATCAGTCTAGCAGTCTCTGCCGTCTTTGTCCTTTCCCTGGGGAGACATTCCTGAGAAAGGGGGCTATAGGACCAGCTGAAAGCAACATCAGTACAACTGAAAAGATAATAGAACATGTCACAGACAGTTACCACATTGACTGTTTAAAGGAAATGAATTTGTGACACCTTAGAGACAATGCTATTTCTAACTACTGCAGAAATGCTACATCACTCGGACAACAACAAGCAGCTTTCTTTCATCGTTCCCCTTGCTCAAGGATCAGTTAAGCAGTGGTCTTGTCCCAGTGTGGACGAGAGAGTCCTACTGAAAGGAGTGCTTCAAGTCTACCCTCACCGAAACAGGACACACAGGCAGAGATCAAAAGACTGCAGGGTCCAGGGCACATTCAAATAAGTCCTGGGGATGAAGACGAACTAGCTTGGTTGTCAGTGCCTAGCTGCTTAGCATGCAGGAGTGAAGGAAAGCACTGGAATTACTGGGTGCTAATTGCTGACCCCTTGAAATTATCTTGGTCTTTCTAGTACCTCACACAGAACTTGGTACATGGTACTTAAAGAAAAAGAGAGGGAGAAAGGGGAGGAGGGAGAGCAGGAGTAGTAAGAAAGAGAAAGGGAAAGAAAAGGAAAGAGAAAGAAAGAAGAAAGAAAGGTGAGTGGATGGAAGGAGGGAGGGGAAGTGGGGGGAAGAGGAGAGAAAATAGGAGAAAGGAAAGGAAGGAGAAACTAATGCAGGAAGGTGAGAGTGTGCCCCAGAAGAAAATTAGTCAGATGTAAGCATATTAAAGGTGTCAAGACTGGGGAGTCAAGTCTGATTTAAGAAGGGCTTCTACATGCTGGGTTGTTTGAGAAAAATGAGGTGGGGCCCTTTCCAGGTGGCTTTGAACATGTCAGTGTTTCATTTGGGAAGTGTGTTGTGGTCGAGCAACCATTGTAGGCTCCTGAAAGGAGCATTACCACAATCCCAATGAACCGAGAGGAACAAGAAACACAAAACTTAAAGGCATCGATCCAATGGAGAAAACAAACCACACTCCGAGGGATGACAGGCAAGCAGAAGGGCTGGGGGACAGGGTGTGCCTAAAACAGGAAGGCAGGTGTCTGTCTGGGAATCTTCCAAGTCAACATTGAAGGATGTGGGCTTACAACTATGATAAAGAATTCACTTCTCCTACTGGACAGCCTTATTTTGATTTCCATTTTCTTTGATTTTTGCCCGTAGGCTGGTGTTTTTTCAGTCACCATCCCTTCCTGAAAATGAGCTCCAATCTTTTGTGCTTTCTCAACAGGGCAAAACAGATTAGTAAATACTAAACCCGGGAGGTGGAATCAGATGTAACCTTGAAGGGCAACTGATACCAACAGACTCTGGGTTCATGGGTTCTGCCTTGTTCCTATTGGCCCCACACTACAAAATAGCTTCAACAACTCTGAGAGCTGTAAGAACTGAGAACCTTCCTGGTCTGACCCACTCACTTCACAGATAAGGATATTTGAGAAGAGAGGTATTAATGTTACTCTCTTACTCTGCAGGAGTTGTTGTGAATGAGATGTGCTTTGCAGGTGGTTTTAATTTAACTAAAACCTTTGACATCAGCTTCTCCATTATACTCACACAATGAAATTGCATCAATGAGCTAGGTACACTGAATGGAATGTACCAGGACACATCACTGCACTAAATAAGAGTACACCGAGGATGCTGGTTCTCCAGAGGCAAGATCTAACTGGTAGAATGACTTACTTTTAAATATTGTGAATGGGCAATGTATTTTATAAACAATGATATTGAAGATGTGGTGCTAAGCTTTTGGCATACATGCAATATTCATTTGTGAATAAATTAGCATGATATTGTATTACAAAAGAACACTGTATATAGTACTTTCATGATTCATATAGATAGTGAGTAATGGAAAGACCAAGAATATGTGAGAAGATAAAAAACAAGCTCCACATTGCTTTGGAGTTACACAGACCCAACCCATGCAAAAATGGCTTTTATATACTATAAGTGCTATTTTAAAAAATTTGAGGAATGAACATGCAGCAGACAGTAGGGGAATGGACAGATTTCACATGTTTGTCATGAGTTAAAAATTTTGCAGATCAGCTTTGTTTTTTTGGTTCTATACCTACCATTGCATCGAGTAGTGGTGCGGGGTCTTCTACTCAGCAAAAGAGTCTCTTGGGATCCTTTTTGTAATTTGAATGCAGAAGAAATACAAGTGAGACCCTTACATTGCCTTGCTCAGTAATAATTCTCCAAGTTTGTCTTGACAATCTCATCACCTATTGCATTTAGCCAAGTGCCAGACTGACCAGCCAACTCACTGTGCTTCTGCCTGGTTTTTTTTTTTTTTTTTCCCCTTGGTAGGTAGATCTTCATGGGGCAGCTTGCTGGAGAAGGCTCCCCAGGGGAGCCATCAGTAGATCTCTGGAATCATGTTGAGGCCCCAAAAGGGAACTGAAGTTAGTACACAAGAGTTCCAGTTACTCATCACGTGACATGCAAAATGGAGGGGAAAAGCAGAAAAGGAATTGTTTATTATTGTTAATGGTTTGATTATTTTGATTAAGTTAAAAACTATTATCTCTGCCTAATGTCATTTCTCTAATTCCAACAAAGGAAATGTACTCCTTATAAGTAATATTTAGTACTCTGATGTTCTCCATGCTTCCAAGTTATCCAAAGTCAGGATAAAGAACAAATCCACAAAGAATTTCGAATGTTTTGCAAAGAATTCAAGTGTCTCCAGTGACAACCCTTCGAGGGATCATTAGTTTTCAACATCTAGGTTTTTCACTTTCATTCTCACACAAGCACACTGGCTGCAAAGTCCTTTTATTCTTATATTAATTAACAAGGAATTAAAAAAAAATAAGCTGGCTTAAAAAGCATTCTACTCAGAAGCAATTGCAAGTGATGAGACATGCCCAAGGGTGGGGGTGGGCGACAAACTCAAGTAGGCTACATGTAAAGCAACGTGCAGCTCTATGCACATTAGTATAATTACAGATTGCAAATTATATCGGATGTATCTAATATCTAATTTTTTGAAAGCTGATTCCACTTGAGACTTCAATAACAGCATCAACATTTTGCAGGTGGCTCCTTCTGTACAGTATCCAAGGGGAATTATTCTTCTAATGTGCTTATAGCCCTCAAGTTAAATCTGGAGCTCCTGCTTAAAGGACCAGTGAACAATGAACACTAAGAATAACACCTTGACAAAGGAAATGGGGAGGGGGTATTACCCTGGACAACACTGAGTACAGTTACTTATTCTATCTGTACTGTGAACACGATACTTTCTTCAAGCAATAAGGAACTTCAACATGTATCATTAGAAAATGTGGGAGAGGCTATACACACATTGAGGAAGCCAACTGAAAAGCTAAGGGTTGGCTGTCATAGATCTATAGATAAAAGAGACCTGTGCGTCTGAGTGGCATGTATACCTTTGACTGCAAATGGAAAGTCTTACACTAAATTCAGCTCATCGAAGACAGACATCCAGTTTGTGTATCTAAAGAAGATCCAAGCTCTGCTTTGAGCAACTGGCTTTGTCCTCATGCCCTACATGAATCAATCTCCAAAGAACTAAAATATATTTGAGATCTCTCGGAGAATGAAGCATATTCTTCAAGTTGATTGGATCCATTTTTTTTATTCTTCTTTAAAGATCTTTCTGCTAATTAGTCGGGGTTGCTGTTGAATTATTTAATTATCTGCACTTTTGTGCAGTGAAATATGTTGTCATAGCACACACTTTACAGTGCAGTGACTGTTCACATTTAATGATGCCTCTATAGTTAGTACTTTCCTTTGTTCAGCTCATAAGTGGTTTTAGAAAAAGGGGTGGGACCCGAAGGAGGAGCCTTGGGGTTTGTAAAATAAAATCATACATTCCTGTGCATGTGCAGAATCTGATGCATTTATATGAATTTCATCGTAGAAATCAAGCTGCAGTTCCATTCTGAATAAGGCACAGCACATGTCGGTGACTTCAAATGCAGCCTGGAGGCTCTGAGTGTACCTTGAACGTCTCTCTAGTGAATCCTCACTGCAATGCCATGGGGAAGGGATGACTTTTTTTTTTTCTTTTTTTTAAATCAGCAAGGAATGTCTTTAACGAGGAAGAAGTAAATTATGATAATTACTCTGAATGGTCGGATCCTTGAGCATTACTAATTAGCATTTATTGCCTGGATTATAGAACAATACAAGTGAAACCAAACCGCGGTTGCTCTTTTACCTTGGAGACTTGAAAAGGCAATGGAGGAAGAAGTCTGCAGCCACCTCCCCTGTGCAGACTGCAGTCAGTCCACCTCTCCACAGCCTGAGGACTCCCTCCTTGTGGAAACACACCCATATGGTCTTCAGCATTTCCGGCCCATTCATCTTTTTGTGTTAGCCTCATATTTGCATGGGCTATCATAGTTTCGGGAGACTGGTGACAGGCGAAACATTTTAGCTATAATACCAGCTGAGGACAATATTATCAGTTGGGTGAGCTTAGCAATAAAGAGCTAAAACGCCATGCTCCAAAAAAATATGGAATTCTTCCAGAGAAATATTTGACTTAAAAATAGAACAAAGAACTCAGCTCTTGGTGAATAAAATTTTACATTCCTTTCCTCACTTGCCCTTAGGATTGAAGTTAAAATTAAAAAAAAAAATAGCCGAGAAAAGATGATGGGTTTCTGGTTATAAGGACATTTATTTATTTATTTATTTATTTATTTATTTATTTATTTATTTTCCATTAGGAATCTGTGATAGCATGAATTCTGAAATTAGAAAACAAAAATTAGATGCTGATGAGCAGGCTGACCGCACAGAATAAATGCCATTCATATAATTTGGCAACTGAAAATTTTAAATAAGCCAGCAGGTAGAAGGAGAGAAAGGGGGAGAAAAAAAAACCCTGAGCCATTTATCACTGTGCAATCCCCGCTGTTCTCCACACCCCATTACAGCGAAGGAAGAGAAAAGACTACAGGCAGTCAGAAACTCGGCCCTAAATACAGTCACTAGTCTTCCAAATACCTTCCATGGATTCCCCACCCCACTCCCTTCTAGTCTCAAAGAATAAGTTTGACCAAATCTGTGAGGAGATTTAATAGACTGGTGGAAGAAATTAATTCTGCCGAATGAGCAAATGCATTCGAGTTGTCTAGATGCAAATAAGAAAGATAATACTTTTCATTGCCTTTGACATGCTAGGCGGATTAGTTTAGAATGTTAAATCTGATTTTATTAGAATATATTAGCAGTGTTTTAATTAATACCAATCAAACGTTTTCTTTCCCTGGGGCTTGATATGTTCCTAACACTTTCTAAATCATCTGTTTTTCTCCCTCAGAAAAGAAGAAGAGGAGAGAAGAAAAAAAAACTACCAAATCACCAAAGCCTTTTGTTACATTATTCTTACTTTACTGTATTCAATGGGAAACTGTAAACTTTTTGTATAAAGGTGTTTTGCCCATAAAATTGGTTCCAGTATCAGATTTTAAAAATGAGCACTCTTCTCTAGTTTGCTCTCTTGAAACAAAATAAAATAAAAAAAATAGAGATTTGAAAATTAAGCATTTAACATATTTTTCTTTTGGGTAAATATTGCAAAAGAGGTTTCAGCTGGTTCTTCTTGTTATCAGTGCGGCTTCTTAAAGCTGTTAGATTTCAACTGCTTTGGTTTTAAGCTGGCAAAAAAGAAGACTTTTTTTAAAGGAGGTGGTTGTGTTAGTGAAGGGGTGTGTGTGTGTGTTTGTGTGTGTGTGTGTGTGTGTGTGTGTGTGCATGCTAGTTAAAAATACGGTGAGCCACTGCACCCTGTGAACTGAATTGTAACTGTGCTCCAAGGAGGTACAAGACTGCATTCCACTCATTATCCCCCCTTTCTCTTCAGCTTCCTGTCCTTCTGCACCCCAGCTCCAGTTCCCTGGGTCTCTTTTCTTCCCCCAGTGCACCCCCACTGCAGCTCACCGTCTTTTTATTTTTTATTTTATTTTTTTATTTTTTTATCTGCCAGGCTGGATTTGCGCTTTTAAAGATCAGTATCAATAATAGCCTGCTTGTTTCGGCTACACTCTCCCTTTAAAAGACAGTCCCCTCTAATTGATGCGTCTGGGCTAGTCTAGACTGGTAGTGATTGAACCAACCACCAATTATGTTATTCATTTCACTGAACTCCGCTGATGGGCTCCATGAGGAAGAGGGGGTGTTGAGAACCCTGCCCTTGCGCCGAAGCAGTTGCCTGCTGAAATATAGAAATCTGTTGTGTCGTACACACTGCTGAATGCCTGGCCAACCTGCATTACAGTAGCAGCCTGAGAACAGGAGCAATCCACGTGAAAACATGGGGAAGCAGGAGTGCCTGCTAGTACAAACTGAAACGTTTGTGTTGAATTATGTCCCTCTATCACTTGAAATCACAGAGAAATCACATCTATCATATCTTTATTGATCCATGCACACATTTCTGTCATGTCAGCTGCATACATATTTTGCCTTCAAAAAGCACCAAATGTTTGCCAATCTTTCAAATGTATAATGTGATAATATATGTTACCCATAAGTTAAACTGATGCACCACCGTAATTTCCACATAGCTATGCATGCACATTAGTTGAAACGGGATGGGGAATCATTAATCATTTTATATAAACTAATGGACAAAATCTCTTAAATAACTGTAAGCTTTGAAGCACATTCTATCAAAGGCTGCCAAGTAATAGTTAAATTACAGCCGTACAAGAGGTTTCAACAAAAGACGTAGCACAATTGTTGCACACTTCTCAATTCAGCATTCTGATGCAAAATGCTTTCTTGACTGTAATTTGGGGTAAATGAGTAAAATTGAGACAAGCATTTAAAAATGGGAAGAGCAGCTTCCTTCCCTTTCCTCTCTCTGTGTACAATGAGGTTACAACCATTACAAAATCTTTCAAAGATGAAAGCATTTGGAGTCTGGGCTGATTTAGGCATTTTCCAAAAATGGAGAGAAAGGCTGGGCTGAGAAGAGTAAAAGTGTTTAAAGGAAACTGTACGCCCGAATTTTCTGCAACAAAGGGAAGGTAAGCCGCGTCCTTCTTCCCTGATGTGAGGCTGACCTGAATCACTGAAATTACCCTGCCATGAAAAGTTATAATCCCAGAAAACTACAAACTAGAAAATGCTAACAATTACCTCAAGAGAGGATCCTTTTTACATGTGGTTTGGTATTACCAATAGCTTTGTCGAATTGAATTAAAATCCTGATAAAAATCTTCCCAGCTTCTAAAGAAGAGTCGTAGGCATTGATTTCCCCCAAAGAATGCAATATCAAATGCACTCAATTATTTCTTTCATCCCATGATATTTAGAAAATCCATTTCTATTCTTATCACCTTTAAATTCACCAAGCATAACATTTTTAAAGAGGTACCAAAGCAAGGAGGTAGTATTACTCCTTCCATTTTGTTTTTAAGAAATCTTGCAAAGTAACACATGTTTTATCTTTCCCAGTCTCTTCATTTTTTTTCCTTTGTATTGAATACAAGAGTTGAATATTTAACCTATTCATTTATTCCAAACCAGTGGTTCCATCATACCTAGGTCAGTGAAACTACTGTCTAGCCATATACAACACATGTGTGGACAATGCAGATATAATATATTCTCATGCCCATTTTAATTGAGCACAATTTTCAGATTAACTGTTGAGTTTAAAAGTTGGAGGCATGGGGCATGCTGGGACTTCAGCTGAGATGTTCTGAGGTCAACCACCAGGTACTGAGCTGTTGATGTTACGCTCTGGTAGTACTGCGTGTTGCTCTCAAGGAATAGACCCTGCCGATGATTTTCCACCAGCCTCAGTGTCAGCCATATACACAGGCGTCCATAACAGCCAACACAGGATGCTAACAGTCTACTTCAACAGAAGCCAGGAGCTGCCACACTCTGGTCACCTGATCCCATCTAACAATGGAAGCCTCAGAGGTGTACTCTCATCACTTCTGACAAACTTTCTTTTCTTTTCTTTTTTCTTTTTCTTAAAAGACAAAAAGTTCCTTCAGCGACGCAAAGGCACGACTCGCAGCTCCCAAGAGCCTAACCCGTGGATTTAAACGGTAAACATCACAAGTTAGGGTCTCAGGGACTGAGGGGAGCGCAACACAGTATTTTTTCTTTCTTGAGACAAAACAAAGCAAAACAAGAATGACAGGCAATTTCAGTTGCAGACTCGGGACTAAAATGCAGCAAACAGGTGGTCCAGTGTGGCGACATCCTGGCTTTCTAAGCCTCTTCCCTTCACAAAATTTAGATCCATTGCTGACTCCGTACAACCCTGCATACGCAATATATATATATATATATATACATGCCTGAACATGCAAATGGCAGCTATATCAAAGAAAACTTTTAAGCTTTGGGCAAAATAATTGGGAAATAATATGAATAGACTCAGAAATGACCATTTCTATTTGGTTAATTAAAAAAAAACAGTGATCTACAATCAGGATTAAATAGCTCTTCAAAGCTTTCATTTGTAAATAGCAGGAATAGACTAAGGAGAAGAAAATAACCCTCTGCCTTCCCCCAGGACAAGCGTGCCACATGCAACAATCCTAAGAGATGGGGATTGGGAGAAGCAGGATTCCGAGGTTAGAAAGGTTTTTGAACTCACCCATTTGAAGTGGAGCCCGGCTGCAGAGCTTCCAGGAGCGCCATCCAGAGCCGGGGGGAGAATGTGAGCTCGCTGTGCGCTAGGCTAGGCGAGGTGTTCAATAGGACAGAGAATGGGGCGGGGAGGGAAGGCGGGGGCAGGAAGCGATACTCCAAAATCCAGAGAAGACCGTAACTCTATGGTTTATGCTTTGGCCGGGGCGTGAGGGTGGGAGGAGAGGCAGTAGGGTGGGAGTGGAGGGAGGGGCTGGGGCTGATCAAATTTGGAAAACAGTCGGTTAAAAAATTAAAAATAAATAAATCGAGAGAGAACAAGAAAATTTCCCAAGGACTGCTTGGGGGAAAAAAAATTTTTTTTTTTCTTTTCCTTCTTCTTTCTCTAGCATGCAGAGTTCTGTCAGTCTTGCAAACCGGGCCCTCCTCTGCATCAGCTGCTTGGCTGAGGCCAAGGCCAAAATCACCCAGAGCGAGCACCAGCCTGTCATTTGGTAGACGCAAAGTGGGAAGGGGTGGGTGCGAGCTGGGGAGATGCTCCCCCCCACCCTCGCCTCCCGCTGCGGATCCTTTGAAGCCTTTGGCCAATATTTCAGAGGAATCCGAGGCATAATCCCCCTCCATCTTCACAGACAGCCACTAGTGCTGTACCTGATAGAGTCCCTCTCCCCAACCTCCTCTGCCTGGAAGCTGAGCTTTCCTGTGCAGACTCAAAAAAAAAAAAAAAAAAAAAAAAAAGAACCGAAAGGGAGGGGACCGACGGGAAGATGCTTCTTTTAAAAAAATTTCTTTCCCCTCACCCCTCCTTTCTTTCTTTTATCCCAGGCCTGAGCAAAGTAGATGGCTGGCTGGGCACGCAGAATAACAAAGCACCGGCCTAAGGAAGACACTGGAGGGGGCCCTTCTACTCCGAGCAAAAAAAAAAAAAAAAAAGACAAGAAAAAAGAAAGAAAGAAAGAAAAAATAGTGAAGAGCTCCAGGCTCGCCTCCTCCCCACCAGAAGAACTAGACTCACACCAGCCAGCCTTCTAAGCCGTCTCTTTCCCTCTGTACAGGGACCTTTTAGAACTGTTCTGTTTAGAACACCCACACACAACTTCTTTTCCTCACCTCTGTAGGTCCTGCTCATGTACAGTTCTCCGTTCAGCTCGCCGTCTCTCCTCTTCCTCTCCTTCCCCTTTTCCTCTCCAAAGAGCCAGTCCGTCATCATCATACCTAGTCTCCTCTCTCTCTCTCTCTCTCTCTCTCTCTCTCTCTCTCTCTCTCTCTCTCTCTCTCTCATATTATTAATAATAATAGCCCTTTCGACATAGCAGCATGAAGTGGCTGCCTTTGAGAAAGCACATTTAATCTTTACTGGCTCCCCTAGGCTTCGCTGAAGAAGAAGGCAAGGGGAGAAAAAAGGAGAGAGAGGAAAAAAGCATGTAAGGGAGGCTGCTGACGGACAGCAAGCATCAGGCACAAATCAGCGACAAGTTGGATTTTCCTAGACCACACTGCCCCCTTTCTTCTCGGCTCTCTCCCTGGGCTCCTGGAAAGCCCCAGTGTCTGGTTACAGGAGGCAATGGGTCTTTCTGCCAACCGTGGTGCAGATTCCTCACATGCCTGCTTAAACCTCTGGCAGAGAAAGGAATCGATATCCCCCTCTAATCACCTTTAGCTCTTTGATGGCGTCCCCCCTTTTCTGAGAATCCGCTTGGCTTCCCTTGCCTCTCCCCCCACCCCACCAGGCTCTCGCATACAAAGCTTGAAGCAATGTCATCTCTCACTTCCTTCCATATCTTGAAGACAAGCCTCTTCTAATATTCTCGCGCTTGCTCTCTCGGTGTTGTGTAGCATGTCTCCTCCCGGACTAGCAACACCGGATGCACAGAGACATCTCCCTGACTACTAATGAGATCAAAAATACACCATCAGGTCAGGGTAAACTAGACATTGTTCTCTACCGATTCAAACGTGTGTGTGTGTGTGTGTGTGTGTGTGTGTGTGTGTGTGTGTGTGTGTGTGGTGTGTTCTTTTGCTAGACCTACAGTTCAGGTAGCTCATTTTCTAAAGTGTTGGGGGGGGGCAGATCAAGGTGGGACTGTGAAGAAGTGAGACCTTGGGTGCAATGTGGTTCTTCGGCCAATTGTCTGGCATCCACACACACTCTCGTGAATGAGCGCAGGTGAGGCTTCTTGTGAAATTTTCCTCCTTTCTTTTTTATTTATTTTTTTTTCTTAAATGGACAGATAGTCAACAACGCCCAACCATTTCTTTGAAATTGTTGTGTGAAAGCATAAAAGAGCAACAACTCAAGTCTATATTTAAGATACATAGACACTCTTCAGGCACGTAATGATCACAATGCTAAACCTCATGCCTTTCAATGGCTGGTTTTGCTGGTTGCCTCCGGTTGCAACGTGCACTAATTTGCCACTTATGTTCCATTCCTGGGATTTGGAAAGCCATTCAGTTTCCTCAGCTCAGCCTAACCCTTGGCTTCCACTGCAGGCATTTTGCTGATTCCTGAAGCCTTTGTAGCCTCCCATGTCCATAAGATACATGCATACTTTATTGATCAGCCTAATGTCCCTCAATAACGATAAGCAATACTTCAGATGGCGAGAGAGAGAGAGAGAGAGAGAGAGAGAGAGAGAGAGAGAGGAGAGAGAGAGAGAGAGAAGAAAAAAGTCATCCCTAAAAGACGAAGGGAGCAGCATGCAGCGTTTCTGTTGTCACCCATTTTAAATGCTTGCCTTCCATACAGTGTCCTCTCAAAGAAGGTACCACCCCCAAAATTAGGGTCTCTACCTATCTATAAACACAGTGGGTATATTGCTGTCTTAACCCAATTTTCCCAATGAGGCTAGAATCCTGAAGACAACAGACAGCCCAGTGTTAAAATAGAATACGGAGTTCTGCAAATAGCAGGAAAGGAGGGGAAGAGAGCCAAGGATGCAGGTTCCCTGCAAGTGGGTGCTTTAAAAGGTAGTTTCTTTGTGCTCATCACAGACATTCATTGTGCTTTGTCTCTGACGGTGAGACTTCAGAAGCACGGCTGGATGCCAAAGGAAGGAGAAGGAAGAGAGGAGAAGCATGTGAGATGAAGAAGCAGAGGAAGGGAAAGAGAAAAGGGAAAAGAGGGAGAGGGAGGAGAGAAGGAAGAGGAAGAGGAGGAGGACACACAGGCAAAAGAGAATGTTGGAGTATCTTTAATACATCTTTTTCTTATTGTCATGACTGGGAAGGAGGAAGGCGTGTGCCAGGAGTTGGTGACTGGGTCAGAATCTTTTTTCAGATTTGGCTAATAGAGTGTTTGCACTAGACTGATGAAGAAAAAGAGAGAGAGAGAGAGAGAGAGAGAGAGAGAGAGAGAGAGAGAGAGAGAGAGAGACATGCTAAAATAATCAAAAAGGGTGGAGCTGTCAAAAAAAATCTTTGACTCATTGGGTGCCTCCCTGTAACGCCAAGATGAATCATTCCTAAGGAGAGTCATTGATGGTCTCAGTGTACTTGTATATATGAAGCCCTGGGAACAGGCCACTGTTCCCAACCCAAGAGGAGAGACAGGTGGAGAACAGAACTCTCCGACCCCCTCTGATTTGCAGTAACAGTTTAGTATGACTTCCACACACTAAGCTAATCTGTCCTTGTCTGGGCCCACTCTGCTTACAAAGATACACAAATATGTGACTTATGAAAGTTAGGCTAAGGAACACATCATTTTCTCTATACAACTCAGTGAGGTCTTTGGAGGATACTTATTTGAAGCAGTTAACACCTGACCCCAATTTCTGTGGGTAATTAGTGAGCTAGATAACCACACAAAGTGGGTAATTATTTAGTACCCAAGGGTACGCTAGAAGTGGGTAGTGACTTTGTTAACAAAAGCATATCTCTAATTATTGTATCTATGATGAGTGTTTTAAAAATACCAGTTACTCTATCAAGTGAACCATGATAAATAAGTAACTGTTTTACTGTCCTCAGCATATACATACATGTCTTCCATCATGGTTCAGAATATTTACCTCTAATGTACAGAATGTAGTGAAGATTAATTAGTGAATGTCTGTGCCACTCTCGGAAGGTGAGATGAACCAGAGAGCTTCTAAATACAATATTAATACTGTTATTGGGACTTTGGCTTTGTTATTTTTGGCAGAGAGAAGCTGGGGGAGTAGATGCTATTGTTTAGCCTATGCCTTGGTCTGATGGTAATGCAGGGACCACAGACATATGATTGTGATCATGGGAAGTGGTCAAGTGCCTGACAGTCTAACCCAGCTGGAAACGAGAGGTAGACGGTATTGAATCGACAGCTGACTCAGGTTAAGTCTGAGGAGCTGGGCTGAGAGGTGGGGAGAGGGAGGAGCCACAAGCCCGAAGGGAGCTGAATCAGCTGGACCACACCCTCCTTCTAAATTCTTCCTATCACCCTCTTTTGAGGGAACACAAACACATCCAGAAATCCCTCAAAGATGACATCTGTGCAAGTTCTGGGATAAAGTTAGCATAATGACATTGGTTATATAGTGTTTATTGTGAAGAAGAACTTCTGTATGCATCATGTAAGCTGATACAAATGCACTTTAAAATATTACTGTCTTGAGGATAGGCACATATAGACCAACCTCAGATATCTTTAGCCCAGAATAACAACAGTGAGGAAGCAGTTTATTGCTTTTATACGTCATTCCTAGGATGAGAAGGGTACTATTTATTTTTTCTGAGAAGAAAAAAGGAGGGGGGAGGGGACAGGAGGAGAGAGAGACAAAAAGACAGAGAGACAGAGACAGACAGAACATGCAAGCATGCTTTGGGGACCCTGATCCTGGAGATCAACTAAGCCTTGAAAATAATAAACAAGAATAGCAAAAATGAAAACTTACTACTTTCTCTGTGAATGGCCATCACATTGAGTCTGTTGTCTGGGTCTGGCAGAGGCAGGGCAGACAGAGACCTCTGGAGTCCACATCTTCATGTAGGATCCCCACACTTTCTCTTTCAAAAAGATCAACCGGGGAATCAACCCTAGAGATCTGGGAGACGCAATTATGTGGGAAGGGTGAAAAAAATATGCAAAGATGTTGTATTCCATACAGTGGATGCTTCTAGGGAACTGGGAAGAGAGTCGACCCCATCCTCCAGCCAACAGGTACCACTGCCGAAATCTTCACTGGCCAACGCTCCTAGGACACATGTTGAGGCTCTGATGGGAGGCTAACTTTGGGGTAAATACATTTGAAGAGCTGAGAGGAAATTTCTCCAAAAGCCATCCAAGCCAGTCTTGTGAGCCGAAGCCCAGTGCTTGTCACCCCTCTCTGAGCTCAGAACTACAAAGGCTAACTGGCATTCTCCAACCCGCCCAGCTCCTTTCAAACCCACAGACTGTGCCAGACTTGGCCCCACCTCCCCCCTGCAACAGATTCTGTGGCCCTGCTCCACTCTATGCTGCAGGGAGCCAGATTTCCATTTTAATTGTCCTACCTGGCTAGTCCCTCTGTCACTAGTCCGGGTTCTTGGCTCTTGGCAAGATTTCAAAGACCCAATCAATTGTTTTGTCTCCCATAATCTTAATCTTCAACACCTCCGGTTCCTACTTCCCCCAAATGTGATCCTTTCAAACACAAAAATGTGATCTCTTCTGCAGTTTCTTGCATGTCTGAGCACCACTACCTCCTTTCTTTGGCCTCTCTCACTCTTGTTTAACTTTCTCTTTTTTTCTGCCTCACATAAGGGAGGAGCCTGAAGGCAGAGCTAGCATTTCCCCTTCTCTTCTCCTTGTACTGAAGCATCTCAGACAAGCCAAAGCAACCCAGGGCATTTCCTAAAAGCTTACCTAAAAAGAGCTGGAGCCATCAGAGAACAGGTGTGTGTGTGTGTGTGTGTGTGTGTGTGTGTGTGTGTGTGTGTGTGTGTTGGGGGAGGGGTGGGGGCACATACAGAGAGAATCAGACAGAGATACAATTAGAGAAAAGTGCCCTAACTATAAGAATGCAGTAGGTGCCGGGCAGTGGTGGCGCACGCCTTTAGTCCCAGCACTTGGGAGGCAGAGCCAGGCGGATCTCTGTAAGTTCGAGGCCAGCCTGGTCTCCAAAGCGAGTTCCAGGAATGGCGCAAAACTGCACAGAGAAACCCTGTCTCGAAAAACCAAAAAAAAAAAAAAAAAAAAAAAAGAATGCAGTAGGAAAGGCCCACAGGCAAATGAGTGGAGAGAGTTAACTGTGACAAGAGCATACAGATCACAGGGGGGTGGAGGGAGATCAAACATATACAGTGAACAGTTCTATCACAGTCCCCTTCCATTGGATGACTCTGATCAAGGATTTGCCTTTCTGTGGACAGGTAGGGAGGGCCAACAGTGAGCCACAGCAGCCTCTGGGATGGGATGGAATGGAAGGCAAACTTCTTTAATTCACCACCTCTCCCTACTTCTGTCCGGGCTCGGGGGCTAAGACTAGAATGACACCCCTATGTATCTCCAAGACGTCATGAGCCTGGCAATTGTGTGGTCCCTGCCTACTCTTTCTACTTAAGTACTTATACTTCTCTATTGTAATCTTTTTTCTGTGTTTGCTCTAATAGCGATCACTGCGGGACTTCTACATTCCAGATGCAGAAAGCTTGCCTCTAAAGACGTTGTGAGTGGTTTCCAGATGTAGAGAATAGGGTTCAGAATAGGCAGCTCTGCCCAGATAGTGGGGGCCAGTGCTAGGATTTGAACCACGTACATTGGCTTAAATACAATTTTGCCTTTGCAGTTGTTACAGCCTTTTGTCCTGTGTTAGTGTAATCAATCTTTCTGATTGATCTCCTCAGATTCCCTTGGTTTCTCCTGTGTATTTCCACTTTACTCCATTCTAGCAGTGTTTCGATTTTCGATGATTTTTATCCAATTCATTCTTGTCTTGTACTTAAGAATGTGCCAGGCATTGTGTTGGGCAGTGTCATCCTTGGAGCTGGGAGATAGGCAACGACCTGTCCACCCTGCTGTCTCCATGTTCGAACTCTAGGGCCATGAGGGAAAAGGCTGTGACAAGTTCCTGATGTGCCCCCAGGGAAGGACATAACACCTAGATGTAACAGGAGTGCGTCAAAAGGTCTTGAATATACTTTTGTGTTAGTATGGCTTGTATTGAAGCTTCACTTTTTTTTTTACATTTATTATTTACCGTGGAGTGGGGCATATTCCAGAGCACATAAGTTGATGTCAGAGGACAGCTTGAAAGGGTCAACTGTATCCTTCTACCCTGTAGGTTCTAGGAATCGAATGAAGCTCATCATTCAAACACCTCTAACCAGTGAGCCACCTTGTAAGCCCACATCATGGTTTTTTTGTTTGTTTATTTGTTTGTTTTTGAAAGAATGGGGTTCTTGTTTAAAATAACCTTTAGGGAAAAAAAAACTTAGCAAGCTACCGTACAAAACTATTATGTAAGAAATGGTGAATCTCAGCCTGAATTTTTAAAGACCATACTCTGGCCGATGCCCCATGTGGAGTCACATTCATAATTCCTTCTACAAGTTCTGAGGCCATGCAGTTTCTTATGTGAAACCACTGCAGTGTGGCTTAGGAGGTCTTTTCAAGTGATAAATTGTGTAGGCTGATGTGGCAGTGAAGGAATATTCTGGGCTGCATGTGAGGAGGCCAAGGGCTTCTACAAGAGTATGAGCAGGAGACCAGGTCTGCACTAGACACTGCAAGTGCTTCATGGCCATCTGGCCTGAATGTCTCCAGGGTTTCACAATGGGTACTCTGAGGAGAGATTAGACAATTCCTTATTTTGCCTAAGGAAGGAATATTTTAAGTACTATAATTGCTATCTTTGCAGGCTAAATTCTATTCTGGTCTTAAAACAAAACAAAACAAAGGGTTTCACGTATTTTTTCACTTGAACTCATCTACTAGTACAGAGCACAGTGATAGAGAAAAAAACAAAATTCCCAGAAAAAACAAATCCAGGCAGTGGAGACATTATTAGGTTAGTATGGCTTGCTAACTCAGACCTTTATAGAGAATACATGTTTGAGGTTCCTTAGGTACAGCCTCACAACCCCTTCTCGGTTCTTTGCCAGTGTCTCTTCTTGGAGTTCTTTCTCCCTCTATTACCACTTTCCCGCTGAATCCAATGGGATCTTTTATTTTTGTTTCTTGGAAATGAATATCATGTCTCTGATAGTTGTCTGAAAAGACGTGATGAGGTCTGGAGTCAAGTGCACATACCACCATGGCAGGCAAGAGAAGAGGTGAAAATGGACCAGAAAACATGGTCAACAGGTGTTGCTGAGCAGTGGGGTGTATCTAGTCTGTCATCCCACATTGTCTGCCTCTGAACAGAGGTGTACGTGGGTGTGTGTGTGACTAGGATGGTGTTCATCTGTCCTTCTCTATCATACTGAGCATTCTGACGCCATTGAATTTGGTTACAAGTATGCTGCTATCTTCAACTGACTGGGAAAAATTTCCTGCTATCAATCCACAACACAGTTTGTAAAGTTGTATCCTTTGGGCTGCTGGTGAGCTTCCTCAAGTGAGAGCTGAGGGGGATGCCACAGTCAGTCTATCCCAAATGCGCTCACGATGTAGACTGCGCAAATCCTTCCAGCAGGACAGGAGTCCCCCAGGAACTGACTGCTCTTCACAGAAAGATGAAGAGTAGGAATGCATTTACATACTGCATGGTCAGCAGGGCCCTTTTCCTTAAGCAATGAGACTGAGCCGAGAGGGAGCGGCATGTGGCACAGGTTGTATGTGGTACAGGTTGCATGTGGCACAGGTCATATGTGGCACAGGTTGCATGTGGCTCAAGCGTACTTATGGCCTGCCATTTTATTTTTTTTTTTTTTTTTTTTTGGTTTTTCGAGACAGGGTTTCTCTGTGTAGCTTTGCGCCTTTCCTGGAACTCACTTGGTAGCCCAGGCTGGCCTCGAACTCACAAAGATCCGCCTGCCTCTGCCTCCCGAGTGCTGGGATTAAAGGCGTGCGCCACCACCGCCCGGCATGGCCTGCCATTTTATACTCAAAACTGTACATCAGTTCCAAGTGTCAGGTTAGGTGTGTCAAGGCTAAAAAATTGGATGTTTTTCTTCATAAGGAAAATTTGAATTTCTTTTGTTTGGGGGGTATGTTATGGTTTAACAAAAGGTGTCCTCCTAAAAGGTGTGTGTATTGAAGACATGGTCCCCAGCCAATGGTGCTGTCGAGTAATGATTGGTCATGCTTTCCACATTAAGGGATTAACTTATTGAGAAATCCATAGACTGAATGGCTTATTAGGAGGTGGGGCTGGATAGAGGAAGTAAGTCATGGTGTGTGCATGCATGTAGGTGTGTGTGTGTGGGGGGGGTGTTTGAAGAGTAGACCATGTCCCTTGTCCCTTCCTATCTGCCCCAGTTTGAGAGCTGAGCAGCTTTGCTCTGACACAACGTCTTTGTCATGAGGCTCTACCTCAGCACAGAAGGGCCAGAAACCAAAACCTCTGAACTCCTGAGCCAATATTTCCTCCTTTAAAATGCTTTTCCCCCTCTGGTATTTTGGCACAAAGACTGAAAAACCAACACACTGAGTATTGGGAAAAATCAATAATCCTCCAGTATATACATGTCATAGTATTTGTTGCTATGTATTTAGAAAATGATTCTGTTGCCCCCGCCCCTTCCACTTCAGTGGGTGGGGTTGGAAGACTCTTACTAACCCACAGAAGGCCTGCTGCTTCTGGGATGGCACTACATGGAGCCTGCAGCTTCGGGGAAGTAATGTACAGCTGGTTCGTGGATTGCACTGGGCTCCAGTGAGACTTAGACAAGGTGAGAGGGAAAGGTCGCCATCTCCAGGATAATGAGGAGAGAAAAGAGAGTGTCCTCCCAAAGTTGGATGCCTATTACCTGTACACCAAGAGGATGATGTGTGATATAAAACTCACTATCCTTGGCCAAAGGGTGTGGGAGCCAAGTTCTATTTCTGCCGAGGTTCTCAGCCATTCATTCAGTCATTAGGTTCAAGCTGCCAAAGCAAGAGATGCAGATCCATCCCTGAGGCTTTGGAAGGTAGAGATTACTGGGCCAAGATCCCAGAGAGGATAACCAAATAAAGACATAGGCCAAAGATTTGGTCTGGAGTCATTCCTATACTTTTGAAATTGCCACACACAGTCTGGGGGGTTGGGAGAAAAAAAAAAAGAGATAAGACAAAGGGGAAGGCTAGGGAAGCCAAGAGCATTCACATCTCAGGTCAAGCTTAGGGTAGATGTGGTTCCTAGAGGGACTCTGACTGACTAAATGAATGCTCCTTAGAAAACTGGCCCCTTTATGGTAGTCCTCATCCTTGGCTTTCTAAGCACTTTTCAACAAGGGCATGGAAAGAGGAAGGTCTATGACACATCAAGAGGGAGAGGTTGGACCATGACTGTTCTTCACAGTTTCCAGTCAACTTCTCAACATTGTGTTTCACAGCAGCCATTCATATTCCATAGAGTCAAGGTAGGGGCTGAGGAGATGGATTGGGGCGGGGTAGGGAGGGGAGAATGAGGACCCAAGTTTGGATCCAGCACTTGCATAAAACCCAGGCTTTGTGATGTGTGACTGTATAACTGCAGGGTGGGGGAGGGGAACAGGTGGATTTGAGTCACTGGCTGTCCAGATAATGCAGCAGAAGAGTTCAGGTTAGTAAGAGATCTTTCCTCAAATAAAAATAAATAAATAAATAAATAAGTTGCAGACTGACAGAGGACAATACCTGGGGCTTACCTCTGGTCTCCACATATGCATGCAGGAGCAAATGCACCCCCAATACATACACCCAACATACATGCTAATTTCCTCATGTACATACTTTTCATATTGTCCAGCCTTTGCAGGTCTCCTACTCTTCCTTTTCAGCCATTTACATCCCAACAGTGTAGGATGGGCAGGGATGGAAGCGAATGTCTCCATGTCACTCCTGTCTCACTGGCAGGA